GAGAGCTCCAGCAAGTAGCAGCGCATGAAATAGCGTCCGCGCTGCTTCTCTTGCAGCGGCGGCGGCGGCGAGCGCGGCCCTTCCCGGTAGCAGCAGCAGCTCCCTCCCGCAGGGGCTCCACCGACGGGTATGGTCATCGGTGCGCTTTGAGGGACCGAGTTTTTATAAGCCGAGCGAGACCGGACTGGCGAGGGAGTCCCTCGGTCCCCAATGCGACCACAAATCCGGCGTGACTTCACATCGGGCCTCGCACAAGAAAGGCGTGCGAACCCCCCTCGGCCTCGCCGTCCTGCGGGGACCTCGGCTTCCGAGGCAGGGATGCACGTCGGTGGCGGCTGCAGGAGATCCTGGGTTCCCCCCGCGGCCGGGGGCTTCAGCACCGCCTGCGAGGCTTGGAGGCGTAAACCCCACCCGCTCCGGAGGCGAGCAGAGTCCCCAGCTCACACGGCAGCTTTGGAAATCCCACTCTCCTGCCTTGCTCGCTGGGCTGGGAACCATCAGCTGGTGGGGGCCAAACAGCTGAAGGCGCACCTGAGCAACGTGACGACGTCGCGCATTTCCACTGACGCCAAGCAAATGTCAGCAGGATCGGTCCCAGCAGCGACAATAATTGCCGAGGTAGGAGTGAGAGGTGTAGCGTGCAACTCCAGGCACAGGGGGAAATCTGCCCATACTTTGCCCGCCGTGACAGTTCATTAAACCGCTTTAAAATACGTTCTCTCTCTCTCTCTCTCTCTTTTTTTTAAGTGGGTATGTGCAGATATGAAGAGCGCGGGGGTGTGGCAGCAGCAGGGCTCTTCTCAGGCGGTGGCTTTCAACCAGAAAGGAAAGGAGCTAATCCTTAAATCGGTCAGTTGTTTGAGAAGAAATGGCACACATCTTGGATACGTAATTACTGAAAATGTCAAACACATAATATACAACACAGGAGGAGGAACGGACTCATTGTTCAAGACCCACCTTCTCTCTGAGCTCAACCCTGATTTAGAGTTTGCCTTCAAAATTAATCGATTTTGGTGTGATACACACAGAAAGAACAATCCCGAGGCACCTGGTTTAGCACAGCTTTGTGCCTGCACAATATTTAGGGTCCGGAATGATGTCTTGTGAAAGGTAAGGGCGAGGGGATATCAGCTGTAACAGTCAAACGTCAACTCGTTTAGCATGTTTAATTAGGATTCTTGGCAACCTTAATACTTCATTCCATATATTTACCGAAGTCAACCTTTCCTCTCCGTCTTTGTGAAGGTGTTGGATTCAAGCGGGAGGGCTCATACGAGCAAAACCAGTGGTCGCAATCAAATCTGATTGCTCCAAATCACCGTCACTATTCAGGGTATATTTTTTGTGTAAAACAGAAAAGAGCCAGAAAGGGAAAACTGCGTACCAAACCCGAGCCAAAAATACAGCAGCCCTGCTTGTTCTGAACTCCCTTCACAAAGCCTCTGCTACACTCTCCCTTGCCTTTGTCAAACCACCCAAAATGGTGGGATATTTCATTTTCAGTGTATTTGATCTCATTGAGAGAAGCTGCGCTGTCCCTCTGTAACCCCGGTAGTCTAGCAACACGGAACAAGCCTAACGGTGCGTTACTTTATCAGTTCTGCTTGCCGGGCTAAATTAAAATGATGATGAAAAAGCCCATCGCTCCAGCCACTGAAGGGACTGGTAGGGAAACGGTCCATTAAACCCAGATCAGGAGCTATTTATAGAACTAAGCGACTACTCGTTAATGTCGCCTGCGGGTACCGATGAAATCTTTAATAGACACAAGGCTAAACATTCGCACCCTGATTCTTTTCCAGACCAAATTTCCACGTAACAAAACGTTTAGGGACTGTGCTTCGACTCGGGCAAACAGGGCAGGAGGTTTAAATCTATATTTGCTTTGAAAAAAGGCCCGTTTCTCCCACGAAATAATCCCCCCACCCCCAAGAGGTAGCTGGGGAAAAAGGGAAATAATTTCTATTCATAAGGGGCGCGGGCTAAGCTGAACGATTCGCCCCATCAGAAAATGAAGATTTGACTGTCTGCGAAAGCGAAGGCGCTACTGAGAAATCTGGAGAAGGAAGACAGCTTGTTATCCGCAAATGAATCTCTTGCTATAACGTTGCGATCTGATTGTGCGTTTGTTTCCCTTCCTGCATTTCATGTGCCTGCGCGCTGACCGGCTGCCAGCGCTATCTTACCAGCACAGCAAGCTGACGAATTGCTATTTAATAAGGTTCTCGTTAATCTTTTTCCCCCAGGAGATCCGTATTTTCTAGTCAGATAAGGCTGAAAAATTTCAGACAGCGAGAGGCGGCCAAACACACACACCCAGACACACACACACCCCGACTCGTTCCTCGCCGCCGGCCTCCCCGGCGGGCCCTGCG